TCATAAATATTGTGTTCTACATTGGATCTCTTCAGGGCCTATTGATATCCTCCACAGTCGGTATTTGAGGATATTAAGTTGCTGATCACCACTTCCATTGCATTTTGAGGTTTTACTCAACTTTATAACGTGTTCCCAGTCAAAAAAGACCACCATAGGAAATGATTGGGTAACTCTACATTATGTTCATCCATCAGACACACATATCGACAACCTTGCTAATTGTAGAATAGATTTTCAGTGTCTTTTCTTTGTATATTCACTGCAGGTATATGCACCAACATGTGGTGATGATTAAGGTTTTTTGTGTTCGAGTAAGAGCAGTTGAAACAGACCGGGAACACAGGGTTTTGACCATCAAAGTACTTTTCACACTGTCACCTATTACAAAAACATTTACCATAATACAACTTAGACATTATGGGAAATATGGTCATTTGCTTTCACCACTCATTCTTCTTTTGATTAGCTTCGACAAGCACTTGAAGCTAAGCTGCTTACACATTGTATCAGACTGTATTACATTGTTTATTTAACAGAAATGTGAAACTAACATTTAGTGAGCTTTAGAGATGTTGCTAAGACAAACACATTTAGATGTTGCGGTCCATGGTAGATATTTCGCGCTGCTTCCTGTCTCTGTGCTAAGCTAGCTTTAACCTCCCAGCCAAAGCTCCATACTCACAGACATTAACCTGCCCAGAAAAAGGAGAATGTTAAACCTACATTGCAATCTTGTGGCACTATGTAGAGCATTTACTGGAATGTCTGCCCTCACAACAGGAAAGCACAGACTATTCTCTATGAAGTGCATTTCCCTCTGATGACGTAGAGCCAGTTTGGTACAATGCCCCATTGTGTACGAGTACTGCGCTGATCCTCGGTATGTACTGTTTGACATTTATGGTATTCCCGTCAATTTATACCCCGATTATCCTTATCATTGAGAGACAGACTGATGAGAGGGAGATAAGGTCCTTACCAGCCTTATAGAGAGGCACAGGGCCGGTATAAAGACACATGTTCCACACAAATCACAGGTCCCGGTGGAGCCTGTTAGAAGGTCAGAGACTCTGTATGATAAATGGATCAGAAGATCAAAATGGCAGCATATTGTCTCGAGTTTGAATCGTTTTCTGCTCCAGGGAGCTGCTTAAAACATGGATGTATAAAGACATTGTGATACAGTGTCTTGTTTGTTCCTATCACAGTTACTCAGTGGCACATGAAGACAAAACGGAGTGGCTGTAGATTCAGAAAGTACCCAGATCATCCGGCCTTTTGCTTATAGATCATGCTTGAGTTTTCCTTAAGCCCCGCCTCCGATCTCCTGCCTCGGCTCATTCGGATGAATGGAGAGGGAAAATAACTCTGGTTTTGGCTTTTAGCGCATTTTACAAATTTTAGACCCTAATGATTCAAATAAGTACTATAAAAGTGTTCGCACTAGTTAGTTTATTTATCGCCAAAAAAATGGTACGCTGATTTACCGATATTTATTTCCCAATGTTAATGAATGCGAAAAAGTATTTTAAAGGCAAAATTATGTCAAGGAAGTCAGTTGGCACAGTGGTACAGTGTGTTGTGTGATGGACTTGCACAACTGTTAGCCTTGCAGTGTATTAGATCTTTCTAGATATACATTTGTTGAAATGTGCTTTGAACATAACCTCCCTTTCATCATCATTCTTTATTACTGGATTTCCCTACTTTGTAATTGTAGGTCCATTGGGGGTTTGGGGCAGGTAGCACAGTGTCAGATTTTTTTCACACAGCACAACACTAACTGGTGCTAATGCACATGGAAATGGTTCTGGTGAGAGCAGGGAGACCCCACCACAACACTAAGGTCGTGGGATCATCACCACGAGCGACCTCTCTCACGTGCACAAGGAAATGTGATAATCTGAATATATTGATTGTTATGATATGCTGTGTCACTTGCAATCTTATCTAGAGTATTTTAAACATGTAAAAAAGCATCTTTGATGTCTGGAAACATTTGAAAGTTTTAACATAAAGTTCTATTTTTAAAGATGTATTTGGGCCAGACTAGACTTTATTGGAGATGACAGTGTTGAAAGGGGAAGATTTAGGGGATGACATGCATGTATGGTTCCAGGAAAGATTCAAACCTGGGTCCACTTCACAGAAACTGAGTCCTGATATATGGGCCAGCAGCTCTACAAGTTGAGCTATACGCTCCAATGCACTTCTGAAGTGTTCAGATGAGTGGGCTCATGACTCCACGTAGATCCATTCCCTCCTCATGTCCTAATCTGTAACCCTGCTATCCCCCAATCAGCGCCTGTTATCACCCTTTACTGCAGCACGATAACCCATTCAAAGGGTGCATTAGCATATCGCCCGCAAAGTGATGACTGAGAGACCTGAGCGATCTGGATCGTAAAGCATCAATGTGCTGCTTTAATGTAATCCACGACCCGCGGGGAGCCCTGATTCTGCGTAACGAGTCCGAGTGAAGAGACAGAAAAACAAAGTTAATGGGTGACAAAGCTCAGTAATGCTCTGTTGCTATAGTTCACTGGCTCCATTAACCACAGCCCGGTGAAAGCCATCCCATCGAGCTGAATGTCTTCTGCATCTGGCCTTCCTGTGCTAATGAGGTAGCACGAAGGTGTCATCTGTAAGGTTATATGAGCCTAGCATCCTGGAGAGAAAACTGTTCTCAAGTGCTGTCCTACTGAACAACAGCTGGTGGTAGACCAATACAATTAGATGCTCCTGAATGCAGCACTACATTTGTGTCAGGCTGATAGTACAGGTGGATTTTAAGTTGATGTCTTAGCTCATGCAGCAATACACTTCCCATGAGCACCTTGTTGTTCCATTTTGACTTTGGGTTTTTGCTAGAAATGGCAAAATCAGCCTATGCACTTTATTAATCGGGGGTCTGTAGTACTATTGAATTTATTTTGGCTTCAGCTAAACTGTTTTGGTTTACTGTCACTGCTCCTATCAATGTATTTCAGTGGAAGCTGATAAACCCACTATACACTACCTTCTCAGCACCATCAGCAGACACAGTTAGCAACTAGGCTAAAATAAAGTTTTAATCAACAATTGTTTGAAAGTGCCTTTAGACTTTATACACCCTTAAACATATATTTTGTCGCTCAAAAAACACATTTAGAAATCACATATTTGTACTAAGACAGTCTTTTTGATTCTATATGAAAACACAATCTCCTTCAGTCTTTATTGATTGTTAGCCCCTTTTGTATAGACGTCATCATGGACTTTACCTTGCTTTCTGTACATGGTAGTTAAGTATTGCATGCGAAATATGAATGAATGGTCTTTATTGTCCTTATACTCAGGAACAATGGCATTTTGGCACAAAAGCAGTAATAAAAGCATAGCATCATAAAACAAAGATCACTACGTAAATTAAATGAACGAATGGTATCAGTATTTATACAAATATGTGTCAATCCTTGTTTATATAGTGTGTTTACAGTCTTTCTTTAGGGGTGTGTGTGTGTGTGTGTGTGTGTGTGTGTGTGTGTGTGTGTGTGTGTGTGTGTGTGTGTGTGTGTGTGTGTGTGTGTGTGTGTGTGTGTGTTTACTAACAGGGAAGCATTAAGCGTTGTACTCAATGTTGTATGTGTGTAAAATAAGTTTACTACATACTTTAAATGTATATAAATTAACCCAAATGTTCTCCAGATGTGCCAGTAGAAAGCATAAGCAATGCAAGTGTATGGTTGCATCATATCTTGTAAAAGCTGGAGAGGCTATATACAGATATACAGGCAACACTTGCAATAGGATGAAATATGTGATAGAAAAGTGCAGAGAATGAGGGTAATCTGAAGCATGAACAGTACCTGAACGTAAGCAGGTGAAACACGGCTGCTGTCAGAGAGAGTTTCCTGTGGTAATGTGAAACGCTGGCTGCCTGGCACTGCTCCCAGAACACTTTGTAAAGGAAGGATTAGGCTGTGTTAATTGGATAGATTTGGTCCAAAAAGATTAGGTGCAGCGAGGAGCCTCTCCTCACCCCTCAGCCCGACACACACTGAATAAAGGAGCCCCGACTGTGTGTGTGAATGTGGTGTCTGATCACAGGTCAGAGTCATGAACAGAAAGCTCTTCTCAAACTTTCATTAAAGAATCACATAATGTCGATGTGTTCAAACACCTTCCTGATGATCAGAACACATTCTGTGCTCCACCCGATCTGCAGCACAGGTGACTGCTCACCAAGATAACTGGCATGGCAACTACACTGTTCCAGTGGTCTGGAGGCGGGGACTAAGTGTACGTTGCTTTGAGGGTGAAGTTTCATATCCTTGCTTCAAGATGTCAGCTGCAGGAGATTTGAAGCAATTAGAATTCTAGGAGCACTCAAGGCCTTTTACTTTGAGTGGATAAGCTTGAATTAAGTTGAAAGTTGAAAATACATATCAATTATATTTATTTTTGCCCCATAATTTATAATATTTCCCAGCACCTAATGCTAGATTACTTCTGTGCGTATTGCTTTGTGTGTATTAGTCTAGGGCAAAAAGCCACAAAAGTTCTTAAATAGTTCTCACGCACAATTTAAAATAAAATGTGTGTACCAGCGATTCATGCTGATGTTCAGCAGGAATATATTCTACCTTAGCTTGTTAGTATCACTGTACGAGTTGACAATTCTTTCTGATACTGTACTGACACAATTTTGACCTGATGATGTCACAAGGTGCGAAGTCAGAGGATCACTACAAATATTAAAAATAATTCTGAGAAGGACATGATTGTCTGCTCCAAATATCATGGCAATCCATTCAATAATACATCCACACCGTTAGAAACAAATCTAGTGCCATTGAATGATGTTCTTTTATTGTATCCTATCCTTTCATTTTACAATATAACACATTAAAGTTCCTTTTTGCATTAAAATGGCTAGGATGTGACTCTTTGTCTTTTCTTAATTTATTATGATCTTTGAATGTGTAAACTAGTCGGACTGGAGCAGAATCGTATCGATGACCAACATGTTGGCCTCCTCGCTGAGGGTAAATGGATGGAACAGGTTGTGATTTAAGCGTGCGTCTAAACCCATGTGTTTTGGAGAAACATTTTCAAAACAGTGCTTTTCGCCGTTGTGTTTCTGTAACGTTACGCTAATGCCATGGAAAGGTCTACCCCGTAACATTTGTTCTTGGATATGGATCTCGGAATTCTGTATTCTGAGACTGCTATTGGAATACTTAGGTCAGAAATGCTCGACAATATCGTTGAATGAATACTCATACCTGATATCAATCAATCAAAGTTTAGTTATATTATCCAATATCACACATTTACATTTGTTATTTTATACATAATATGAAGACGAATAGGACACCCTCTGTCCTGAGACCCTCACATTGGACAAGCAGAAACTATGATATGCTTTGTAGCCAGTTGAGCTGTAAGACCCTCTGGGGGCCCCCTAGCAGTTGCTTGTCGGCAAACGGCGCCCCTGTTTGTAGCACATAAAAAAGCCCTGCACGGACATTATCCCAAGGTCAAAAACGCACTTCCATTGGAGGGCTTATTCAAAGTGAGATTACTCTCTCAGAGCCTTGCAGATTGATAACCCCCACCCTGCCAAACTCCACCATCTGATGGTTTCATTTCCATGTCGGTCTTGTTGCAGGTCCTTCAAGCCAGACTTCGTCCTGATTCGCCAGCACGCCTACAGCATGGTCCCAGGTGAGGACTTCAGGAACCTCGTGATTGGTTTGCATTTCGGCGGCGTCCCGAGTAGCAACTCCCTCTTCTCCATCTACAACTTCTGCAGCAAGCCCTGGGTGGTAAGCTGCTCTACTGGTCTCTGCTCTACTTTAACCCTGATTCATGAAGGCTTTTAAAGGGAGCTGAAGGGCCGTCTCTGGAGTCGGTGCAGCGAGCCTCCACACATTCTGACTCCCGCTGTACTGTGAGGAAGAGCAGTGAAAACTCTCTGCATGTGTTCATAATTGAAGGAGTATGAACCACCCTGTGTAAAAGAATGACCTTTACATGTCGTAGCTCATTTACCACATGTTTACACCTGTTTCAAACGAAGCATTCCATACGTTTTTAGATGGTCTCGTTTCTCTGCTCAGTGTTAATGGTAGGGACGTGGTAATTGTTCTCCATAGATACTGACATTTTATACTTTTTGAATGATAATTTACTGTTTGAAAATCATTCTGTTCTTCTGTTCCCAAATTAGTTTTGCCACGTTGGAAGCCATAACAGACAGCAAGGTCATCCATCAAGTCAGTTATAACATTGGGCAGGATAGATAAAAAAGGCCCTATGGCTTTTTAAACAGGGAACTTTAGAGCACTAAAGCATAAAGACAAACAAAAAGGTCGGACTGTACCATACACCTCGACTGTCATCAGCTGTAGCTGCATTTATGACAGTTTTCACTAAAGTGATTCTGATATTCTTAGCTTTTTTCTTCTAGTTTTGATATGTCTGAAAACATGCTTACACAGATATTTTATATGTGGAGAGACATTATAACAAGTCCATAATGAATGAATATAATAAGACACTTTGGTAAACATCGCTCTCGAGCAAGATACACGTCTTATTATTATATTTGGGATTTGACCGATGGGTCTGCTCTGTGAATAAATCAGGCTTACATGAATCTCAAAGACTTTGCTAGCTTGAAAGAAAACTTTATTTGTTACAAATATCAGTGTTCCCCAGGTTTGAAACCAATCATTCATACAGCAATAATGTATCAACATTCAACTATCTACTGGTGGGTTTAGAATGTATTTACTTAAACCAAGCTATCCTCACTGTCATTGTAACCAACAGCTGGATGCAGCAGGTTCAGCACTGTTAACTGAAGGACGTAAGGCAGGTTAGAGGAAGTCAGAACAACTATTTGTGTTGGGATATGTGTCTGACTGTACTGGATCACATGTATAAGCATCTGAGAGGATGATTGTGAATGCTGTGCTCTGAACACAGGTGTATATAACCCTCCTGTCCTCCACTGCTTTAATGAAGACATCTAACTGTCTTTTCTTTTTGCTCTTCAGTTTTCTCAGATGATAAAGCTCTACCACTCTCTCGGCCCTGAGAAATTCCCCCTGAATGAACAAACCTTCTACCCCAACCACACACAGATGGTGAGTGCCTCAGATATTACTCTTCATCCACACAACACACATAAATCACCATAAACCTCCTGTAGGCAGATGTTCATTAAATCTTTATTATAAAAATATAAAACACAGAAATTAAGTCAAACACTTCTATAACCCCTACAAGGAACCCCCCTCACACACACTTCAGGAATCAGACTGTACACAGCTTCCTTGATTGGGTTATTTTTTAAACTTGACCAAGTCTTTCTGTGTTAAGCAGACAGTACATTTACACAAACATGAACCACAGAAATAGTGACACAGAAACGCCACAGCTGGAGAAAGAGCTTTGTCAACACATACAGTACAAAGACAGAAAGGACATGTTTTGTACAAAATAAAATCTCTACTGATACGCGACTCGAAGGTCAGTAATTATTAACTTCTGTTGTACTGTCTTAAAACTAAATGACACGTAATCCGGACTCGGTGTAATGTTGCGTACTCATGCCAAAGAGTCATCATCGAGAGGAGGCAGACAGAAGGAAAAGTATTCAGCAGTTCTGTGTAGAAAACTTTGAGCGAGTTACAAAAATAAGATAGCTTTAGGGTTGTCTTTTTTAATAATTTAGAGAAACGTGTCAATATTTGACTTTAGTTCCAGATACAATCTTCCTCCTCTGATGTGATCCGACCTTAGCTTTAGTTCCCAGAGGTGGTTTAAATACTGTTTCACATGAAAGACACATTTTTGGAATAGAGATGGATAAATAAATACAAAGTTTTTACATTTTAGGAAATTGGCGTTTTACTTTGTTTCTGGAAGTTTCACGCTTCTATAAGCTTCTAACGTGTGTGTTAAACATGAACCTCCAGCTCCAACGAGATGGCTAGTTTAGCGACTAAGCTAAACTCATTTAACTTGAATCAGAAAAGCGAAAAAGCATATTTCCCAACATTTAGAAAAACGCTTTTGAAAACTTGGTCAAAGCCACAGTGCATTAGCGATGTAATACTTTGTGTTAGTGATGAAGGGCTGTGACAAACCTGTGTCTGTTAATGGAATGGATTGAAGGTACGGCACTGAGAAAAAACAGGTGAAAAAAAAAAATGTAGTGACAACATTGTTACTATCATTTATATATATATATATATTGACATATATATGTCAATTTGAAATAGTTAAATACAAAAGATTGAATATACACATACAAAATATCTCTGAACTTGTGGCTTTCATTGGACGAGGAGTACCACTCTTGGATTGAGCTAACAGACAGGAGTACCGTGAGTACCAGACTATAGCCTGGTCCCTCATTCTGGGGGGTGCGCAGGCTGCGATGGTTGTCACAATGTAGTTTTGATCAGTTATTATATATTTGTTTCTTTTTATGCAGATGATATCACATCATTTCTGTGTAATCTAATAAACATATAAATAAATGAATTACAGAGGTTTCAGATTAGTTTATAGTTCATTTCTGTAGCTTATGTTATATACAGCAAAAAATAAAATATCACCATCTCGGCCAGAAGTGAGCATCTCTCTGCGTTGGCACTATAACAGAGCATTTATTTTAGCCTCTCTCTGATATTCAACAGTGCTCAACAGTACAGGGTTGTTTGTGATATTAACATTCAGGTCAGCAGAGATTCTATAATCCTTAAAGACACGTTACAGTTAACACTGAACATAATTGATACATGTATACTTCACTGTAAAACAATACAATTTTCAAAGAAAATGCAATAATTTGAGGACGAAATAAGAGGTATAACATTCAGAGGTCATACCTTACATTGGCACTCCATCTACAGAGTTGGATGTGTGGAACACCGTCCATCTAACTGTAGCAAGTAGCAACAATGTCATTTGACATAGTGATAATTGGCTACCAGGTTAGCAGAAGGCTAACACAGCTCACCTATTAACATCAATGCTATTGGTATTGAAACTTCAAATTGTGTACGTGTCACTGCTTGATGTTTATTCCTGAGGATCCAATAAAGGTTGATCACTTTCAAGGACAGTTCGATTCGTGTTTGGAAAGTCGATAGTTCAACAGGGCGATGTGCACAACAAAAAAGGTATAGTTTTCTGTCAGAAGTGCTACAAAACAGGCACTGCAATGGATTTACTCTTTTCTCTTTTTTGCCCCTTTAAAAGAGGCTGTCACCTGGGATTGGTCGGAGTCAGGGAGTCAGTGGTTTGGGCAGGGTGCGTTGGGGTCAGGGTTCAGGGGTCAGTGGCGTTGATTGCGGTTTTGTCGCGTGAAGTCATGCCCCGGTACCAGCTGCAGTAGCCCTCCTTCTGCTGGATGCAGGAATAGTGCCGGGACTGGTAGCCCGGATAGCCGAAGTGGGACAGCATGTCCGTCCATAGGCACTCATTCTTAGAGGTCACAAAGCAGGGCAGGTAGTGGCAGGACTTAATCTACAGGGACAGAAGCAAAACCAAGGATGTAGCCATGAAGCAGGAGACCAAAGGTGACTACAGGTATACCTTACCTGACAGTAATAATATAAACTAATATGTTTTGAACCAAAAACTCTCTATTTTTTGGTATGTCTCAATAATGCTTCATTCTTAAAATAATCTGAAGCTAAATTATATTTACACTAAAGATTAAGCTAGAGCCACTAGGCAGTTAGCTTAGCTAGCATAAAGAATGGAAACATGAAGAAGCAGAAGGTCGCTCCATTTTTACAAAAAATCACATTTATCACCTCTAGACTAACATACTGAGTTTTATTTTGTTTGTTTCACACATGTGCTCGTTGTTGTCATTTTTAAGAGCTGGATAGAACTTAGCTAGCTGTTTACTACTGCCTGAAGGCTAATGCTAACGTAAGCTAACGGTATCATGACTCAAATTTAGCATACAGATTTGAGAGTGGTTTCAATAAATTTTTCTAAACCTTGCCAAGAAAGAGAATAAGAATACTTTTACAAAAAAAGGACATTCCTGCTTAATTATTGAACTTATTAACATGTTAAAGCTACCAATAATCGGTAGTAGCATATAACTTGTCGACAACAGTATGACGTATGAGCCTGGAAGGAAGTAATTGAGTATATGATTCGGTTGAAATATAAAAGTGTAACATATTCACAAGCCATGTCTCGATTCAGGGACTGCACCCTTTGGAGTACGCAGCCTACACGTAGACCGGGTAGGCTGGACCGAGCGGCCTACGAAATGAGACGTTCTAGCCTACGGAGCGCTTCGTATTTACGTCATGTGATACGCGCTGTTCGGTTGCGCTGCACCAGCAGCCTGCTAGCAAATTAGCTTACAAGCTAACTCAGCTGAAAAGGATCCAGAAACCTTTCTTTTACCTTTAACATTTTTTGGAGATCACCGACGGCGATGAAATAAAGAGGACCATGGCCAGGTAAATAAGACTGTTCCTTTAGCCCCAGTAATGTTACATTAGTAAGTTAACAAGTAAATTATATATAGCTGATGTAATTTATCATATTATTTCATATTTAAAATAAGTCTTAATTTTTCTGTAATAATAAAACAATGTTTTTTTAAATGAACAAAAGCATGTTGTATATATTGATTGTTAACAATATTAGTGTTCTAATCTTAATAGCTGTGATCATAACAGTTCATATTCTCCTTCTTCCACTAAATCAGCCGAGATGATGTCCCACTGACCCCAGGTCAGCACCTCCAGGTCCAGCAGCATCGTGACCCCCCGCTCTGCTGAAATACACTTAAATTAAACATTAAACATTTTCTATGACCTATTTTTTGTATTAATAAAATTAAACTGAAGACAGTGTAATGACCTAGAGATATCCTATTATTCCACTGCTTATGTACACATGTTGTAAATAATGGTTAAAAAAAAGTAAATGAAATAAACAATGAGTTTAACAATTACTATTTTAATTTAATTTTGTATTTTCATCTTATCACAAAGTAGAGGTAAGAATATATCCATCCTCTCTCTGCAGCTTCATTTCTTCTATTATTATAACTTTCATCAGAGAGGCGAAGTCCCACCCATCTACTTTCGGTAAAATTATGTATTGAAGTCAATGGGGAGAGAAAGATTATCTTTCGATCCCGTTTGAATTGTTTCACGAATTACACATATGATGTTTGTCAATTTAAAAAAAAATTCCATGTCAAAAAAGTCACAGTTTGTCGTAAAACTGTTGAAATATAAGACCATGAAAAATACTCAACTAGAAAGACTACAAATCCCGCCATTTCATTTGGAAAAAACTCACTCTTCCCTGCGCGCATTGCACCCTGGGATATGGTAGACCGTGGAGGATACATCAGATGTATCCTTCAAATCTGGGAAAAGAAGGCTGCATTCGTGGGCCGCATTCGGAGGAGTCTCGTCTTTTTTTCCAATTGGGACAGCCTTCTTTCGGCGGAAGTGACGTATGCGGTCTACAAATGCAGCCTCCGAAGGATGCAGTCCCTGAATTGAGACACGGCCACAGGGTGTAGCATCCAGAACATGTAGTCCTATCATTGCTCTTTTCCTTTCAGTCATTTGCTGCAGCACATTAATAGATGAGCTGTAAAAAGGCAGCTCTTTAAAAAACTAAATGCAAAACCAGTAAGCGTACCCTGGCATATTCATGGCTTTGTGCTGTGAAATGTGAACGAATGTCAGCCATCTTCGTGAAGCAGTGATGTATTTGTAGTTTCGTAATGATTCAATTAGATTTTACTGAGCGCCTTTCATGCGTCACACCTCCAGGTGCTCGCACAAAAAGCAGCTTCACGGTTGAATATACAGCGTGAATTGACAGGAAGAGTCACTTGTCTACTCAAAGAAGTGATGAACGGAACATTTTGTTTAATGACTGCATGTAGCTGCACTTCTATGAATCTGAATGAGAAAATTCTATTAGCAAGATAGAGGGCACTTTTCCCATTCTGGGTGTTTTTGTTACTCATCCCGAGAGTGTGTCCTCAGTGGTTCAGAGACGTTGGAATAGTTTTAATGATGTGTGGAAAATAATGCTCTAACCGGTACGCCACACTTCCTGCCTTCCAGTGCAGTAAATCAGCATTTGTGGAGGAATGCAGAGCGCATTTAATAAGTGTGATCATGTTTACGCCTGCCTGTACTTACTGACTGAAGTGTCAGCTGATCGAAGGCGTTCTCTGGATGCCTCTGGGCTGCTGCCATTTACGCTCTGAGCACAGTTCACAGGCGTAGCTCAACTGGGAACAAATAGGTCTCTTTCCTAATCCACTTATACTGATAGGGGTGGATGGTGTTAGCAGATGTCCAGGAAACGGCTGTACAGTAGGACTCCGCGGCTGGTTGGCAGCTGCACAGCGACCGGCTACGGTACCATTACAACTGATTCCCAGAGCTGTTATTTAATTACTTCCACTGATTTTGAAAAAAATAGTTTTCTCTATTTTGGGTTTCTAAGAATCTATGATGTGGAATGTTGGTTCATAACTCAGTCCCAGTAACAACAGCCATGTCGGCATGAAGGTCATTTGAAGTAGGAGTAAATGATTGTTGCAATGTAGCTGGAACAGTAACGATAATGAGCCTGAATTGGTTTGACCCTTCACATGTTGGGTACTTCAGTTAGTTTTCCTTCCTGCTGTATTCATAGATAGAACTCTTTTGGGCTTCATAGATCAACCCAGTTTTTAATTTGACATGTAGGAGTAGTTTACATTTTCCTCCTGCCTCCTCTTCCCTCATCTTTTGTGTCCTTTGCTGGTGAGGTTGCTGCTCTCCACTCACCCTGCAGTTGCACCCCAGCTGATAGCGGTGGTTGATGCCTTTCTTCTGGGCCAATGAGAGGCGCTCCCACCGCTCGTTGAAGTTGCACAGCCCTGTGTAGACCTTTCCATCGTACACTCGGCCTGAGGAGGAAAAGATGGAGGGAATTGGTCAACAGCGTGTTGATTTCATGCAACAAATAAGATATTTCAGTTTGGACTAAAGTGGAAAACCATCCGACCAGATTTCGAAGCTTGAATAAACGTTATTAATCTCATCTCATTTGCAGTCATTTAATCAAAGTTGGTATCATATTGCTGGTATCTCATTGTGTTATTCACCTAACTTCATAATCCTCTGTCTGAAACACAAGATAATATAAACATACTGCTCAAGCAATCCAACTTGTTTATCTATGGTAAGACAATCTGACACAGTAAGCCGGTATTAAACCAACACCCCCTATTTCTGAATATCAAAAGGTCAGCAGACTTCTATTGTCACCACGTGGTCACCCCAACCCCCCCCCCAATCCAGTGAATCCCTGCACTGGGATTACTTGAGTCACTTGCAGGCTTATTACATTGTGTTGAATGTGTGACATGCTCTGAAAATACTGATCAAGGCCGGAGCACTCGGACTCCATCAAAGGAGAGCCAGGCCCTTTAAATTGGCTGTTATGCAGTCATGATCGTATGCAGGAACTTAATATAGACGCCTTGAGAGCAGCGAAAGACGTCAGTGATGTCACTCGCACCCGAGCAGGGTAAACATAGCCTTCGCTGCCTGGCAACGCAGTCTCCTTCACATGCACTATGGGGTGCAGTTACTTCATTTACAGGTCGGGACTTAGCGACAGTTATACGTCAAGCACCGCAGGGTCCAAAGTAAACTGCACCTCTGTTGGAAATAGCAACTCATAAAAGCTTGTGCTGGAAAACGCCAGTCGCTTCCTGCTAGCTGTTAATTACAAGTTCTAAGAGAGGGAACGCTTTCTGCCGTGCGCCAGGCAGAGAAGTTAAAGGATTTTTTTTTTTAAAGGGCCTTAACAGTGTCAACAAGTAGGTTATAAATAGTGGGAAAGATTGTGTCACAGGACAAATGAAGAAGCCATTTGGGGAGGACAGGAGTGAGGGACACTAATGCCGTGGGAAAGACTCTCGAATGCATCTGAACAACAGCAATCACCTGACAGAAATGTTTTCATTAATATTCAATTTGAATTGAATACAAATATTAATCATCAATTTAAATAAACACATCTGTGGGAAAATGTTGTACTTAATAAGCTTTTCTCAGAACTGTTGACCATATTCCTATATAAAGAGACTTTTAGGGGACTTGCAATAAGAAAGTCAGTAGCCTAATATCTTGCATTTTCTTGGTTTTTCAAACATAAGTACAACTGAACGCTTTAGAAAATATTGTGACACTGCTTTTTTTCATCTATTTTACCCTCAAAGGGACTTAAACCTACACAGTCATTATTTTGTTGTATTGAAGACGACTTTGATACTAAAGATTGAGACCATAGGCAGGTAACAAATTAAGTTTGAAGTAGCCTTATTTTCTGATAGACTTCAATTCAATCAGACTACAATCGAAGTCTCCCCCTGCTAGCTGTATGAAGGAAAGCAGGTTAAGGGCACAGCATTTGATTTACTTCGGACCATAGGTAAAGCTCCAAACAATGGATCCATAATTTCCCATAATGCAATTTGAAATGATCTTCCTTCCAACATTGACTCTTGACATGGTGTCAGTCCCTCAGCTCACCTGTGATCAGGTACTGGTACTTGTTGATGTCAAACTTCACTCCGCACAGACCCTCCGAGGCGTCTGTGTAGATGTGCTGCACGTGCTGGACCTTTTCAAATCCTTTGTACATCTACAAGACACGAAAAAAACAAAGTTGACGTTAAAACCGGAACTAAAAGTGAAATGATGTACCCTTCACCCTGGCACAACACCCCCCACCCCCTGCACCCATATATATACATATATATATATATATATATATATATGTATATATATATATATGTATATATATAAAATCAGGAATGAAACCAGTACGGGGGCTTTATCAGATGACATTCCTTAAGGAATGCCTCCTGGGATGAGGAGTATTAGGCTCTGCCCTTAACCTAATCATAGATAACATGATTATGCTGTGTAATGTGCTTTGACTTTGATGCTGTTTCTGCAAGGGCATTGTTAAAGTGGGGACCTCAGCTCCTTCTATTTACCCCAGTTATGCAGAGCCAATCGTCAGTGTTCAATCTGAGACCTGTTATGTTTCCTTCAGTGTAATTTATTTGTCCGGGAACAACAGGAAATCCTTGTTTAGACGCGTCGCTCCCAGAAAAAGCAGAACAAACTGTTACTAAAGCCTCCAACTGTAGAGGTTTCAGGCTTAGGGCGATTAGTTTCATAGGATTTGTTTAAATTTGGAGGGAATCACATTCTATTACAGCCCACAAGGAAAACCTCTGTTTGCAGTATAAACCAGCAGACTGTAATACAAATAAATAACGCAAGAGGTGCAAAGTTCACATTTAATGCCTGAGGATAATCCTTACAGTGATGATTGGTGTGCTTCACCAACAAGAGGCCACTTAATGCTTTTGTACGAGCTGGGATTGTAGCGACGCAGTGCACAGCTCTGTTGAAATGTTTACACTGGGAGCGAGCAGTTTGGTGGAGCTGTAATGCCTGTAAGCTGCTAATCCTCCAGCCTGGCTCCTGTCTGAGCAGCAGGCCAATGTGAGCATCTGTCAGAAATATGCAGCGTTATGTAAGAATACAGAGGAAGTGAAGTGCGGGCTTTCCCACTAAGTATCCCAAGCTGCTTTTCAGCTATCAAACAGCGGCTGAGGGGGCGGACAGAAAGTCTTTCTAAAGAGTTCCTGCCACATCCAGTGTATGGCATTGGACGTGCCTGTGCTTTTACATAGGGGAGTGTTGTTAAATGGAAGAAATATAGCTTTTTTAGTTCAAGTCAATAGTGTTATCGCCTAGTGGTTACAATCAGAAATGATCAAATGTTACTCTACGGCCTAGTTTAATAGGAAGTGCATTTAACTGACTATGTTGCCAAGTTCAAGTTCAATAATTGATACAAGTCTCTGGCTCATCTAAAGACTAGAAGCATGATTTATTGTTACTCCCCTGAACAAAGCCAGCATGACTGCTTCCCCTCCTTCTGGTATTTAAGTAAGTTAGGCTAACATGAAACGCTAACAATACTGGCTCATGTTTAACTAGCATACATGAAACTGGTATCAGTCTCCTCAAGTTATTCTTGGCAAGAAAGGGGGCAGGTGTGTTTGCCAAAACGTCCTAGTGTTCCTTTAAGGTTTATCAGCACAGACCACTCACCTTCATCTGCTTGACTGTGTAGCGCATTGTTCCAAAATGTCCATCTCTCAGGAGCTTCTTGCCCACCACTTTAGCTCGAATCACTGTGAAGAGAGGAGAGGGACAGGTCAATGACTTTGAACTAAACTGAACAAACTGCTCCAACATTTAACTATGAGCCTTCCTATCGAATCCATCAAATAGCACGGCCTTGGCCAGTAGGAGGCCTTAGCAGTCCCATTATAAATACCATTTCAGGGCCGGTTGGCACCACAGTTAATCCGTGTATCTGATTTTATGCATTGCTGCAGTATGCCAAGGAAGGCCACTGGGGGAAAAACTACGGGGATGTTTGATACAGGAATTAGAGGAAGAAGAGGCATTGTCCCTGTACCAAGGATTCATTCTTACTGCTGGGGTTGAAGATTGTCCAGATGACTCTTTTCTAAAAGGTAGAACTTGTACCAATCACTTACAGACATTTGGGATGTTGGCTTTGTTTGTGTAGTTGTAATATTCAGATCATGAAGGGCAAAATGTGACTCCTATCAGCTTGTTTACTGATTAACAACACCAGTCATATGAGGTAAAAAGCTGCAGCGTGTCTCCTCTGTTTCCTTCTGTTTTGGGAGCAGGGCTTGGAAAAGATCTTATCTGAGTGCAGGTCCCTCATGTTGACGTCGGCGAGGTGAAACTACTCAGTGGGGACTTTGATTTGTTTACTTTAACTCATGTTGGTGTAAGGGTGCTTATTGTGGGAGGCCAGGGAGCTGGGAGAAATGAAGGATATTCGGAGCCGGTGAATAGAGTCTAGGCAGAGCTGCGGGTCAGATGTCAGTCTCTGTTCACCTGCTGCACACCGCCCACCGGCCGCATTCACAACTAACACTTGTCTTGTTTGTTATCTTCTCCCGCTGGAATGTCTTCAACACATTCTTTAGAGGCTCATATTCACACGAAAAATTTAGAAGCCTTTCATTATTTTTCTGGAGGAAGAAATGAGGCATGTGGAATGCTCTGTTTGGTATGTGTTGGTTTAACTCTCCTACTTCCACGCAAGTGGAAATGGGCACACAAACTCAAACAGGAAGCAGTTACAGCATGGCCACCCAAAAGTGGTGACCTCCAACTTATTTTGGTGATGAAGACCACCGATTGAACCAAGCATTTATTTAAACACCCAGTAATGCTTATTTTAAACCAATCCAAGTACTGTGGGCAATCCACAAGCTTTCCAATACAAATACACAGGACTCTTTTAGGTTCATTTTTATTTAGAGGTACTATATGGGATTTTCAGAAACGTAGTATTATTATTGACGTGAGTAGCTGTTGAGTGAAATGCAGTCAGTCTTCTGTTGCACGCTCTGTGGATGAGGGTAGTTTGTTGCATTTAGTGTGCTGCCTTTTTAAGCTAACATTAGCTGGTGTTGCTCACTGTAGGTGCTATAGATGAGCTGAATAGATGTACTCAATACACAGGAATCAGTTCACCGGCTTGCCGTAAGTTAAGGAATGTCTGAAATTTGAAGTTCATTCAAATCTGTACATTGTAATACAAAACTATTAATACAGTAAATGTAATTACTTTACGTAATTTGCTCTGTTTGAGGAATGTTTCTGAGCATGCATGAAAGTGCGGAATATTTATTTTAAAGTTGTCTATAGGCGCTTTCACACCAGAGTACTTTTCCCCGTACTTTTCCCTTTTTGTTCCGATAGTTCCTGGGATTTTGCGTTCACACAAAAAAGATCTGGAACTAGAACTTAGTTCATGAGAACCTTTTCACCCCCTTTTTAGTCCCTGCTAGAGAGCAGATACTTTCCTGGGGAGAAAAAGGTTCCAATTTCTGATTGGCTGGGCGAATTACAAACCACGCCCAGTTATTGCCACTCGTCGACTGAAGTCTTTGCGGTGTGTTCGTAGGCGGGTGTTCGTAGGCGGGTGGTGAAGCCGACGCAGGCGATGGAGCGGACATAAAAGTCGGGACGCCTTCGGTACGCGTTCTTTGGTCTCAGGTTGGTGTGTAGTGGCCTTTAGCATTAGCCCAACACACAAACGGAGAGAGAGTAACTTGTGGCAACACAAAAAAAAACATTGGAGCAGTGGAGATGAGGAGGTGTCGGCGTTCTGGCGATTTACCCAGCAGCTTCTACTGAAGCCAGTCCCCAACTCCGGGGACTTCCGGCCGGGGACTTCGGGCGGCAGTATACGCCGTGAAGTTGTTTGCGGCCTGCCAGTAAACCCAAAGCAGAAGAAGAAGAAGTGACGTCAGCGGCTTCATTTGCCTAATCCTTCCCCAGGAACTTATTCCGGTGTGAACGCGATCTGTACTTAGTTCACGAGAATTAAAGAGGTCTGATGAACTAAGTACTGGGAACTAAGTACGGCTAAGTACTTGGTGTGAAAGCGCCTTATGACAAATAAATTGATCAGATACATCTTCAGGGCTCTGTGCGGCAGTACTTGGATGCTTTATGCTGTTAGCATGCAAACATTACCTAATTAGCACTGACAAACTACATGGGTTAGGGTTAGGGTAACCTAACCCTGGATACAGTGACATTTTGTGCAGTGACAAATTGGGATTCCACCTGTTAGCTTGCCACCCATGGAGGGCACTGCAAGTGAACAGAGCGTCAATTCAAGGATGTACCCAACGGTAAACGGTGCTTTGGAATATATACACCTTACCAACATACAACCATAAAATGCAAAGTTGAACATTCTGTCAAGAGCATAAAGGTGATTGTTTTTCACCTTTTGTCATCTTAACAATTAAAGGCACCAACAAGTCATTTATGAGCTCTTGGACAAGAACAAGGTGGAAAACACCTGATCTGTTAATCTGTCAACTTGTTTTTAATATGAACCCAACAGATGTACCCAAATGCAGTTTGACATACTTTTGCCACTGCAATTACAGGGAAAGCAGGGCACAATTACAGAGGAATGTGCAGATATAACAGGAAGCCTCTCTTAAATACACTGCTGCTGTTATTTCCAACCATCACCCCAAAACCTAGTTTCTTCCTCTGCCCTGACCTCAAAAGCAACCCTCAGAAGAAACGAGTGTTCCTGTTTGAAGGGCCACGGGTCAACTTTTTTGACCCGAATACATCCAGATTGGTTCCCTGTTGTTGGACAGCAGCCAGTAATAGCTGGTGTGGTTCCCTGTTGTTGGACAGCAGCCAGTAATAGCTGGTGCTGGTGTGTGGAGGGCCTCAGCTGCTCCAGACAGAGGATTTGTATCATTCCCCTGCACTGACCCCTGACCTCCTCTCAATTCGGAGGTTATTTTTACATCCCATTACAGAGCTGCCTGTTCATGTCAAGAGTCGATGTTAAGAGTGTTTATTTAACCCATAACTAGTCTCACATCATCCTGGTTCAACTGGAAACTATGAATATACTATGCAGACAAACGTTTCTACCTCCCAAATGTTTCTTTTCCACCTGAACATGTTCATTTGTCTGCATACAGTGCCTCATAAGGATATACAGCACACTGTCATTGAACTCATACTGACCCCACTGTTTGTTCTAAATACTGAAAAAAACATTGATGAGTTCTACCTGCTGTAATGACAGATGCCTCATAATATTGTTGATTGATAATGTTGACATGCAGCATGATTCTAAAAAAAGTTGTGGATTGTACCTGGTGCCGTTATACTTTTTTAGTACAACCTCAGTTAAGGTACTAAGCCGATACAGGACATCAAAACACAGCGGACCACTGATTGTTCAGAGAAAATCCCAGCGTTTTTAAACAGCTAACTGTCATCCAGCGGTTGCATTTTTTTAAATGTGTTCGACCTGGAATTTCTTTTAAATATTATTTGGCACCTACACCGTACACTACGCCTTACAATTTACAAAGTGCAGTTATTCCTCTATTGGTCACCGACGAGTAATGGTTAATATGGTGAATATGGCATGATATCAAGCAGCTGAAGTAGTAGCATTATATTGGTTTACATAATTGGCACGATTAAGACTATTTGTTACGTACTAATATGTTGCACATAATAATGGCTAATAATTCAGACTTTAATAGTCTATTTGATATATCTATCGTCTTTCTGTACTTTAATGAAAAAATCTCCCTCCCTCTTACTTTGCTTAACGTGAAGAATTACAGGCCTGTATTTTCTGCGGAGGATCCGACATACATTTCCAAGAGTGGGAGGCTTTTCGTGATAAGAGAGTTAACAAGAAGAAGTAAATCCATGTTTCACTCAGGATCTCTCGCCTAAAGCAGGGGATTACACAAGCGTGATAGCGAATGCTAAATCTTAAGGTGAGCATGTAATTTAGTGCAACATTCATTTCAGCCTACGAACAATGTGGCAAACTGCGGGCTCGACAAGAATAAGGTTACTCATTCATGTATGTGTGTGAGGAAGAGAAAGCAGAGAGGCGCAGGGCGGGTGACGCTGAGCTTAGTATGCACAAAGTGCTCCAAGGAGTGTGGGAGGAAGAGGAATTCTCAAGACGACACCACCACGCTCAAAAATAAACACTGAAACAGAAATCCTGCATGGTCTACTTACTGGTTAGTAAAATGCAAAGGCAGCCTCTGAAGTACACGCTTTCATCACTGCCTCTGATACGACTTCCAGTTTTAACAAGGCGATAAACGCTCTAAGCAACAGGTCATTTTAATCGATTTTTGATTGTATTCAAATTGAATTACAACAAAGACATGGTTCCAAAACAGCCTAACAGATTGCCTGGTGTTTTCCCAGCATGCTTTGCTCCTTTGGTTCCTGCTTTTCATATCCATCTCTTTTTATCTTTGTAACTCACTCACTTGCCATGTGTCTTTTTTTTCCCAGAATTGTTGGTCAGAGGGTTACTGCTGTTTGAATGACAATCCCATATTAGTTCAATCAATACTTGGAATATCTGTTTTACAGCTTTATTTGTAAGAGTCTGACTTTGTTTTTCAGAAACAAGCCACCGTTGATCAAACTTGACATTCTAGTGAGAAATAATTGTTGACCTTTCTCGGCGAAATTACTCAGTGCTCCCTTTACAAGTGATGAAGGCGAATAAAGTTGGATGGTGGTGCAATAGTAGCTGTATCGTAGTGTGTGCTAGGCTGATGTCCATGGCCCCTGTGCTGGCCTCCTGTTTAAAATAGTGGACCCCCAAGAGGCTGGTCATCAGTGAAGGGAGGGACGGAGTGGACATTCGATACGCCTGGCTCATGGGACAAACATCCGAGGCTTGCACATAATCCAAAACCTTTGATATATCATCGTATTTTAGCTCACTTTTGGGAAAACTACTGAAATTTGATCAGAGTGACATAATGCATCTCATTACAGCTGCATTAGCTCACCTGTCACCTGTTGACCTGCATATTTGGGGTTGGGGGAAAGCTGACAGAAAGAGTGGTGATTTAACTAAATGCTACTCATTAGCAGCAGGAGGAGGTGTGTTAGTACCAGGAGACATCAGTCCAAAGCTGCTCTGCTGCACAAAGCTGCTCTATGCTGCACAAAACACCCACGGCAGGGCGGGATCCGTTTCTCACATATCAACCTAATCCTCAGCAACTGACCTGGTTTGCGGTGCGAGCATGTAAAGGTTTTCTCTGTCACCCCCAGTGCTTGGGAACCAGCGTCCTTACAGAACCATATTAAATCTCAGGGCCAGAGTTCACTGCCGGGCCTCTAATCTTGCTGTTTGAGGGCATTGGAAAAACAAGCACTGCTCATATCTCCTTGTGAATGGACTACTTTAACCCAACCGCCCAATAGCAACCAACTCAGTCCCCAGTCAAAGAAGGAAGCTGGGGCATTGGCAGGACATGGCCCACTTACATGTCTTAAATACCATCATCCAATTGAAATGAAAGCAATACACAATTTCCAAAATGCCAAACCTTTAAAGTAGTGTGATTCATCCAATTGAGTGTCTGCATGTGATTATGGGTCACTGCCAAAAAAACAAGAGATTTGAACTCAACTTCAGATCTTAGATTGAGAACATTCAGACCTACCTTCTTTGGTGTAGACGGTGAGAATAACCGTGTTTCTCCCTCACTGCATTAACATTTCAAACCCATACTCTTGTTGTTATCTGGACTTGACTATGATACATGTAAAAGTGCAGGTGATATAAATAAACGTCAAATTGAAGAATGGACCAAAATTGAAGGATGACTTTGTGACATTTGAATAAACATGAATAAAAGTGCTATTCTATAGTGCTGAATGCCTGTTTTAACACATTTTGACTTTATGGCATATTTAATAAGGACATTTTACCTGCATTTGAAATACTATAGTCCAAGAAAAAGTACATTTCACCCAGATTAATGAATGAAATAGCCGTGACTGCAGCATCCAACCAGTGTTTCAGAAGAAGTATATTCGTCAGCTGCACAGCGACAGGTTAGGCTCAGGATCGGCTCTGTTTGCGTTTACAACAGCCATCTCTGCACCTACTGACCAATAGAAACGCACAGTACATGGGCTACAGGCGGCGGGATGTTTATAGCAGGTGATAATGAATTACGACCTACAACAACAACAACAACCTGAAGCTGACTGTGCTACAGACAAAGCAATACTCAACACTGCCAGGGTAATAAGCTAGCCTTATCCAATTGAAATGCAGGTTACTAATTGCTTATCATTATACAATTATGCACATGCAACACATTCTGTGAATTAAGAATGAACAAATGAAATGCATACAAAAAGTTTCCAACAAGTGCGAACAAACAACCACAATCTAAATCCCAAGAGTTATCGCTCTGTAGGAGTTCTTATGAGATCTCTGATTCATTGATGTATTACTTGACTATGAAAGAGTAGCCTTATGTTAAAGGCTGGTATTTGGAGTAACCGGACATAACAATGTATCGGAGTGTTGAGCGAACATTGGTAAATTGTAACATCTGCGGAGAGTCCTTATATATAATGCACAACAGCATAATGACCAACAAGTTATGGGAGGTGAAGCCTTCTCTAGCCTCCATTACCTGCGCCTGCTCATAGATATCAGATGATGGGTTCCTTCAAAGCACAAGCCAAGCCAGGACGTTGGGAATGGGATTTGTGGGGCTCACAGCTGATCACTGCTGCCATTGAAGTCAGTCCCAGCGGATGCCAACACCAAAGCTATCTGAAGATCTGCAGGACTGTGAAAGCATCACATGAGTGTTTGTGGTTGCTTCTTTTTCCCTTACTCCAGCCGGGCACCTCCTCCGTCACAAGACTCTACGGATAATTCACCAAAGAATCAATGTGATCTCCCGCCTACCTCAGATCTAAAAGAAGTGACTTCCACCAACGTGAAATACTCTGGTTGTGTCCTCCATATTTGGAGAAGCCTTATTTTCTTGGCTGCATTTGAGGTGCCTTTGGAACACGAAACCCTTGCAGTGTGCCGATGGTGTACACAGTACTGAGTGAACAGGACACAGCAAATGAAACAGTATTTTAAAGCCACGCTAAAGCCTAGATGTGAAGTATTTTTTGGAATGCAACAACAGGTGATCAGTTAGGTAGAGAAAAGCTGTTGGATCTCACGGGAAGGGAGCTAGTGGCAAGAGAGTTTATAAATATGCTGTATTGGAGGTTGTTATTTATTATTTCACCTATCGATAAAATACAAGGTCATAATAATTAATTAATAGTCCAAACGTGTTTTTTCCCACCAAGAGTTGGATGAGAAGACTGATATCACTTTGAAGCTGTAGCCTGTTAGCTTAGCTTAGCACAAAGAGAGGAAACAGTGTACAATATCAATCGTACATGTTATTGTATCATTAGCAGTGTCACCTCTATTGGTGACAGGCAGTAAGTGCACCATCATTAAAAAATATATTATTATTATTATATATGTGTGGGTATGTGTGTGTGTGTGTGTGTGTGTGTGTGTGTGTGTGTGTGTGTGTGTGTGTGTGTGTGTGTGGGGGGGGGGGGGCATTGCTGCAATAACTAGGACTTCCCTTGTAGCGTGTAAGACGACACTAGGCAAACACATGGGCTACACATTCTGCAGTGTGTATTCAGTTTAGACTGAGAGATTATTCTTGATTATACAGTATGTCAGAGTTTCTTAAAATGATATGTAACCAAAATATCAGCTGCACTCAGCAAGGCTGTCAGCTTCTGTCTTTGTCTTTGCACATGTGAAGAAATCCTCTGACCCATATCCGCCCTGACACTCTGATCCACACTGTGGAAACTCTCACCCCAAAGACTCTCCATCCCTGCAGATCACATAATCCTGAGCTTCTAAAAACAGAGGCCAGGCTAATACAGATCCCAAATTCATATTATTTTGGGGAGTCAGGGAACGCATAACCAGGCAGTAAAACAAGCTATGTAACCCCCCCCCCCTCGTGGCTGTTTGTGTACCAGAAGCCGAGCATATCTGAGTTACAACCGAGCGCTGGCTGACAGACATGCCAGTGCTGTATGCTCATAAATAAGCACTACCTGAATCAACTACCATGACTTATCATCAACAATGTAAACCACTTCTTCCTGTAGCTTGAACATAACAACATTAATGTGGGTAATTTTTTAGGGAAAAAAGCCATGAAAATGTTAGGCAACTATTGCATTAGTTTAACAGCCATCACTGTTAGTTACATCTCTGGACCAGAGTCGTTCACTGACTAGAAGCTAAACGCTCAAGTGAGTTATTCAATTAAACAGAAGTGGAAGAAGTACTCAGATTGTGTACTTAAGTAGCAAACAATGAAAACACTCATGTACAGTATTTAGTAGTATAGTAACTGTTACTTTTAAACACTACAATTAAATAATAACTATTTTAGAAATGTGTTCTGAAAATAACAGAAGAAGTACTGGTGTAAACATTTAAGTAAAAGTCAAAAGTAGTTAAATAATGTCACTGTAGATCTTAATAGCAAGTTTCCTGTATACTCATCCAGTAAACAGATCAGAATCAGAATGCCTTTATTAGTCCCGCAGGTCAGATCACTTTTATTCTAACACATGCTTCCAAACATCACCCCGCTGAGCCCCAGCAGTTCCCGGCCCCGGACAGCGCACCGGTCCCTCACTCACCTATGTCGGCGCTGCAGAAGGCGTCCTGCGGGTGCGTCATGGCGCAGGAGCAGGCCTCTGTGAGCGGGCTCCCCTGCAAGCTGAGCAGCAGCAGCAGGCCGAGCAGCGGCTGGGTCCCTGCACGCATCCTGAATCTGTCCTGTGTGTGTGCTGAATACTGTGGTCCTGCTGTGTGTATGTCCGGCTCTGCTCTGAGTTCTGTGTGATCCTGCACAGCGCGCGCTCTACATATAGCGCGCGGAGTGCCATACACGCCCCCTTCCCACCTCTGCAGCTCGCGGGCGGGGCAGCCAATCAGCGGCCGGTGATGCCATCAGACAGCAGACACGATGACATACTGGAAATTTAGTCTGATGTCCCAGACTGACACAACAAATGATAGAGAAAAATGTAATAATCAGACGGGTTTAAAGCATGTTCAAACCATGCGAGGCTGAGAGGTAGATGGAGACAGTTATTCTAGTTGTTTGAGATTGAACTAACTTTAAATACACATGGAAAACTATTAAGTTGGCATAAAAAAATAGATTTTTTTAAAGATATAGATATAAAATATAGGCCACAAAATAGAACAAAATAAAAAAATGTACAAGTACAAGAAAAAACTACCTTTTGTCTGTAATGTCCTGCCTTAATGTCCTGGCTGCTCATTTAATAACTATTGTACTAGTTTGTTGTTTGCTTTTGTGCGTAGAGAATACTAAAGAAGACCATTGTCTCTGTGTTAGCTGATTATTTTGTAGTATTCTGTTGAGTATTAAACAATTACGTGAGGTAGAGGGTATTCAAATAAATTTATCAGTAAGTCAGAGATGTGCAACTATATTTAAAGTGAACCTATCATGCTATATTTTAAACATATATTGTAGGGCCATACCTATATAAAGTATATAAATATATTTATTTTTTCAAAATACCGAACAGATCCTGCATTTTAGCCATGCCTCATTTCGCTCTATTTGCTCTTTCCAGCCCTGTTTTTGCAGGGGGCTGATTCTGTGAGCTGCAACTGACCACGCCCCCCTGCAGTAGAGGGGAGTTGGCATTTGGCATTAGGGCAGGGATATCTAGTTACTTTCCAAGGTTTGACATAATGAATTGTGCTAATTTTAAAGCAAGCAACAATGTTTTCAAATCTGTAATCAAAAAGTTCCTCAAAAACGCTATCGAAGCAGTTCCTCCCGTTGCTACGTTAGTTCAAACAGTAACAGCGGACAATTTTTGTTAGCGGATGCATGTCAATTTAAATCAATACAACTATTTTTTTTAATTAATTTTCTAAATCCATAAAAGCATTTCAATTAATATTGGGAGTCATGTTGTTACTTTGTTGAGAATGTTGATCGAGATCCCTCTGCTTCGCGTCGGCTCCTGATCAGCCTGTCGGTGTTCTTTTCCCCATAATGACCGCGTCGCTGCACATTATCCCTTATATATGATTATATAGAGTCATTATGAATTTGTTTTAAAGCAGGAGGCGCAAACGCTTACCTCGGGGATGGAGAAAAAGAGCCACAGCGGAGAATAAACAGAAGGGCAACCATGGCAACCATGGCAACCATGTGCGGGAAGTCTTCTTCGCTGCTTTTGTGGCAGACTACAGCGCCACTTACAGGCCTGGCATATGTACTACAGCGTCTCC